AATAGGGCTGGGTTGGAAAAATCAAAAACCGCAAATCGAACCGAAATCGATCGAAACAAGCTAGAAAAAAACCGAACCGAACTGTTAGTGTTTGGTTCCGTTTTGGTTTTCACTTTTAAAGACCGAACCGAACCGAATAAACCGAAAAAATTATAGAAATATACACGCAAATAAATTACTACTCGATTAAAATTATTTTCTTAATTATTAATTAAACATTCTAGTCATATTATTATAAACTTTGAAAAAACCTAAGAATATAGGGAAGTATCATTCATTATTCAATAAGATCAATTATTATCAAATTGTACCAGAATTAAATATGTTTCATGCTTAAAATCATTGATAAGCAATTTTAACAGTAAGGGTACATCTGGATAATCATTTAATTAGGTAACTTTTTACAACATTTTCCCACTTCTTAGGTTTCTTCTAACATCCAAATTTAAAATTTAAATCCAAAAATAGGCTCTAAATTCTAAATTTAGTATTTAAAAACTATTAAAATAACATTATATTAAAAAAAATGTTCTTTACCCTTATCTAGTTCCTTGGATATATCGAGCCAGCAACAATACGCCAAAGTCTACTAGTCGTCCGGTGTCCAAGCCAAAGCTACTTGTATCGTCTCCACTCAACCGTTTTGTTTCTTTTTGGAGTCATTCCTCGCTATATTAATTTAATAAAGTACCATATTATTTCTTCTTTTAACTCCGTAGATCATTTAATATAGTTTTTTATTATTTATTTTGTCCATTAATTTCTTTTTCACCTTTTTTAGGCCATTTAATTTTTTTAAAAAAAATCACCCTATAAGATTAAAACATAGAGAAAAAGTACTAAAACAGGACTTTCATATTTTTTTTCCTGAAATAGGACTTCGCACTGTGGTAATGTGACACTATATATGTGCACATTACTATATTTTTTGGTAATGTACATAAACATGTTTGGTAATGTGAATGCATTTTAAGTCTTATTTCAAAAATAAAAATATGAAAGTCTTATTTTGGTATATTTTTAATGTTTTAGTCCTACTTTGATCTTTCTTCCAAAATAAAATTCCGTTTTCTATTTTTGCAAAAAGCTTTTAATGAATTTTCATTGCACCCTCACTTTTTATCTACAGCATTCACGTTATTCTATCACATGAAGGATAACACATGAAAAGTTTTTACACTTTTTACTTTTTTTATCTCCGTGCCAAGTCAAACATGGAAGAAATTTTTGGACGTATGGAGTACAATCAGTACATAATTTAAATTCCAATTTTATTAAAAAATATTAAATAAGCTGAATTTAAAAAAATTTGAAATTTTTTACTACACAATTTTTTTAAAATTAGTTAATCATTATAATGTACTCCACATTATTCCTTTAGTTTTGCGACCAAGAGAATAGTTGGGGTCTTGGTTCCTTGAAATATTAGAGCAAAGTCAAATACGGAGAATAAAGGCTGAGAGATAAAGTAGATCCAAACATTCCAAAAGTCCAAAAAGAGATTTGAAAAGGAACGAAGCTCTAATCAGATCTACAGTAATTATTTCGTAATTACTTTGAATTCTTTAATTTATCTTTAAAAAATGTTCACCTTTGAATATCTTTTAATAAGAATACTGGATAAATATAAGATTTTAGCTCTGATTGGGCATTACTTTAGTCTTTAACTTTAACATTTTTAAAATGCTAGAATTTCATCTCTTTTAAAGTTTAATTTGCATTATCCCATATTTAAAAAGTGCTCCATATTTAAAATTTTGATGCTAAACGAAGTATGGAGTATTAACTAAAATTATTTTCAGAACTATTTGCATTATTTCTAAAACCTTTATCTAACCATTTCAATTTTTTTGAACCAAGCACATTTTATTATCCACCAAAACCAAAAGTCTAACAAACAGGGAGGCCCCAGTACAAACTGAAAGAGAACAACAATGTAAAATTAATGGAGACACCCAGCTATCTAGAGAGCCACTTTATCTCCGATTCTCAATTTTATAATGGTTCTGAGATTTTGAATATAGTGATCCTTTGAAACCTGGCTGCCACAATGAAGCTGATTGTTCCTAGCTTTCCACACAAAGTAACAACGTGCTGTGATACAGGTTGCTATAAGCCATCGATCTTTCCTACTCTTGCGCAGTCTGATTTTCCCACCCAGATCAGTAATGGACTGGGCTGCAGCTAAATCATAATGAATCTACCATTTCAATTTAATTGTTCACTCTTTTACATTATTAAAATTGTCAATATTTTAAATTCAAAACTCACATCCTTTCATAAGATATACGTTGGATTCTTTTCATTGAGATCTCTATACCTAACGAATATAAATTTGATTAAAAAATATTAACTTTGAAAATGTGTTTTTGTCTGCATACTCTTTGAAAAGGTACTAAATCAATGACTCATTATCTCAATGAAGTTGCCACGATCCTCACCGACTTGATTGCCATGCATTAACACATCCTCCCTGAATGTGATGTTGTACATGCGCTTATTCACGTTCTCTCTGTCGAGTACTCATCTTTCAAACAAAATATTTGTCTGTAAATCGGAGACCTTACATTCAATCCGCTTTCCCATGCTCACTTCAAAGGAAATCAATCTTGAGATGTAACATAAGTTGAGGGGTTGAAATATTATCATCACTCAACAACTCAGATTCAACCGAGCGTTGGACGCCAAAGTGCTACTATGTTCCACGGATTCCAAAGTCTTGATTCATTTGGCTTGAGACACCTCGTTCGGCACCGGAGCCCATTTAGAGTGCCCACTGAATATTTCTATGGCTTTCAGATGTAGAAAATGACCATTAAATTGTGCTTGATGCTTTAACAATGCCGGTTTCAAAATGTCAACGTCACTCACGCCGCTTGGCCGAGTGAGGGTGGAATTGAAACGTTGTATATCTCGAAGAACTTGTTGACTTATCATTCAAGTCACCTTATTTAGAGGAGAAGTCATCAATGTGACGGTAGGGCTTCGCGTTCATCGGTGCGTGAAAGGGAGAAAGACCAAAGTATGACTAAAATATTGAAAATATACCAAAATAGGATTTCTATGTTTTTATTCCCGAAATAAGACTTAAATTACCATACATGGTAATATACATTACCAAAAAGGTATAGTAATTTGCACATGTACACTGCCACATTAGAACTGAACAAAGTCATATTACCATAGTACGGGAAAAAAACATGAAAGTCCTATTTTGATATTTGATACTTTTCTCTATGTTTTAATCCTATTTAGGGTGATTTCTATGCGTGAAATTGAGTAGTTACCCTACCCCAAAAGCTGTCTACGCTTTGAACTAAAGAATTATTATTTTCTATTGAAACTAACGGAGGGCTAAGCCTCGTATATATAATACATGAGAATCCTAAATACGGAAGGAATCCTATACAAGGAAACTACCATGTATACAATGATTACACAATTAATACTAAATATATACATAATATATATTTAACATGCACCCAACTACGTGACCGGAGATGGTCGAATGCCAAGACTGTGTCTGAAGTCAGAGAATAGGAGAGATGGGAGCCCTTTGGTAAAGATATCAGCATACTGAGAGGAGGAGGGAACATGTAGGACCCGAACATGACCAAGGGCAACTTTGTCTCTAACAAAGTGAATGTCAACCTCAACATTCTTTGTCCGCTGGTGCTGAACGGGATTAGACGAGAGGTAAACAGCACTGACATTGTCACAGAACACCAAAGTGGCTCATCGGAGAGGTTGATGAAGCTCAAGGAGAAGATTTCGGACCCAGCTAGTCTCTGCTACCGCATTTGCCACGGCGCGGTACTCTACCTCAGCACTAGAGCGGGAAGTGGTGGCCTGTCTCTTGGAGGACCAAGAAATGAGGTTGTCTCCAAGAAAAACACAATACCCGGAAGTGGAGCGACGGGTGTCAGGGCAGCCTGCCCAATCTGCATCTGAATAGGCCTGTAAGGAGTCTGTGCCGGTGCGGTGAAGAGTGATGCCATGGGTAGCTGTGCCATGAATGTAGCGTAGAACTCGCTTCATAGCCGTGAGATGGGAGCTGCGTGGTGCATGAAGATGAAGGCAAAGCTGCTGTACAGCATACGTGAGATCAGGGCGTGTAAAAGTCAGATACTGTAGGGCACCAACAATAGAATTATTATTTTCTATTGAAACTAACGGAGGGCTAAGCCTCGTATATATAATACATGAGAATCCTAACTACGGAAGGAATCCTATACAAGGAAACTACCATGTATACAATGATTACACAATTAATACTAAATATATACATAATATATATTTAACATGAACATTTCCCAATTGCAAAAGAATGAGAAAAAATGTGTTATGGAAAAGGATAAAAAATGATAAAATATGTAAGTGAAATTTCTTGGAAAAAATACGATCCTCTAATCGGGTCTTCGAAAATGTTCACCCGCGCTTGGGCCAGCACTTCCTTCTTTGTTGACGTCTACGGTCGCTTGGCAACCTGACTCGTCGTACCCTCTTAGTGCAGTCTTCCCTTTGGATTTTCTGGTAGGTTGCATTTCTAACAAGTTCTTAATCTCATTCTCGAAGACAGGAGTCGGACCGGGCGTACTCCGTACAGGTTGAAAATTTTTTTAAATGTTATTTTAACCACTCTAGGAATTACAAAAAATATGGAAGGGGTGGGAATATATAAATATCTTGTAAAGTTTATTTGTGGAGGGAGGTAGTATAGAAGAGGGCTGTTCCCTCCTCATCACGTGCATACGTGGATCCCATCATCCCCACACGATCCACACCCTTGAATCTTAACAAGAGTGAGGGAGCATATACGCACATATCGGTCCCTTTCTCATTATTCAGCCTCCAAACATGTCTTAATCAACCTTTCACACCATTTTCATTCCCAACTTCTCCCAAACAAAACAAGATCATCATTTTGCAGAGGTTTCTTCTTCTTTATCTTCTTCTGCCACAGCTGGCTATCTACTAGTGTACTCTGCTGCTACTCACTAGTTCTTACTCAAGCTCTCCCATTGCTTATTCCCAAACCACAATAATGGTTCTCAAACTCTTCCTTCTCATTCTCTCCTGTCCAATTTTGGCTCTTTCTGTTAATCAAGAAGTCCTGTATCTCCACAGTGCGAAGCTCGGTCTGGATGACCCGGACGGCGTGCTTTCAAGCTGGATCGACGGCGATGACTCGCCGTGTAAGTGGTTCGGCGTATCGTGCGATGTCCGATCAGGTTCAGTCATCTCTCTCGACCTTTCCAATACGAATGTCGCCGGACCTTTCCCCGTTGTTCTTTGCCGGCTTAAAAATCTGAGCTTTCTCTCGTTTTTCAACAATTCCATGAGCTCCACGATTCCGGATGGGCTGTCCGGTTGTCAGGCCATGGAGCATCTCGATCTGTCTCAGAATTACTTGACGGGGTCGCTTCCGGATGCTCTGGCCGAGCTTCCCAACTTGAAATACCTCGGTTTAAGCGGAAATAATTTTTCCGGCGAAATTCCGGCGAGCTTCGGGAGGTTTCAGAGGCTTGAATACTTGGGACTCGTCTCGAACATGTTGGACGGGACGCTCCCGGCGTTTATCGGGAACGTTTCGAGTTTGAAGCAGCTGAATCTCTCGTACAACCCGTTTTACCCGGGTCGGATCCCGCCGGAGTTCGGGAACTTGTCGAATCTGGAGGTCCTGTGGCTCTCCAGCACTAATCTGATCGGGGAAATTCCCGACTCGCTGAGTCGGCTCACCAAGCTGGTCGATTTGGATCTCGCGTGGAACGGGCTGAGCGGGCCGGTTCCGAGCTGGCTCACTGATTTGACCAGCGCCGTTCAGATTGAGCTCTACAACAACTCGTTGACCGGGGAGCTTCCGGCGAAAGGGTGGTCGAGAATGACGGCGCTGAGGCTGATTGACGCGTCAATGAACCAGTTGACGGGGAATATTCCGGCGGGGTTGTGCGAGTTACCCCTTGAGTCACTGAATCTTTACAATAACAATTTCGAAGGTAAATTACCGGAAAGCATTGCAAATTCCCCTAATTTGTACGAGTTGCGGCTTTTCTCAAACAATCTGAACGGAAGTTTGCCGGAAAATCTGGGCAAAGTCTCACCTCTGATTATGATTGATATCACCGACAATGACTTCACCGGCGGAATCCCTTCATCCCTGTGCGAAATGGGTGTTCTAGAGGAGGTCCTGCTGATACACAACTCATTCTCCGGCGAAATCCCGGCGAGTTTGAGCCACTGCCACAGCTTAAAACGAGTGAGACTTATGAACAACAATCTCTCCGGCGAAATTCCGGGGGGGTTTTGGGGGCTACCCCAGCTTTCATTGCTCGAGTTGGTAAACAATTCATTCACAGGGCAAATCGCCAAAACCATTTCCGGCGCGTCCAAGCTTTCTTCCTTACTCCTATCAAACAACAGATTTTCCGGTCCCATCCCGGAGGAAATCGGATCTCTTGAAAATCTTTTTGAATTTATGGGCAATGACAATCAGTTCTCCGGCCAATTACCGGCCAGCATTGTGAATCTCAGTCAGCTGGGACGATTCGATCTTCACAATAACGAACTTTCGGGTAATCTTCCCAACGGAATCCAACATTGGAGAAGATTAAATGAATTGAACCTAGCAAACAATAAGCTCTCTGGGAACATTCCTCTGGAAATAGGTAACATATCTGTTCTAAACTTTCTTGATCTGTCAGGAAACCGATTTTCCGGGAAAATCCCCATGGAATTACAAAACCTGAAGCTGAATCAACTGAACCTGTCAAACAATCACCTCTCCGGCAACATTCCGCCTTTGTTTGCAAAGCAAATGTACAAAGACAGCTTTCTTGGGAATCCCGGGTTGTGCGACGTCCACGGATTATGCAACAGGCGAGATGGAGACAAACACTATGTTTGGTTGGTCTTTGTGTTATGTGGTTTGGTTCTCATTCTTGGAGTGGGTTGGTTCTATTCCAAGTATAGCAGCTTCAAGAAAGCCGAAACGGCAAATGATAGATCAAAATGGATATTGATGTCGTTTCACAAACTCGGTTTCGACGAGTACGAGATATTGGATTCCCTCGACGAGGACAATGTCATCGGGAGGGGGTTGTCTGGAAAGGTGTACAAGGTTGTCTTGAGCAATGGGGAAGCTGTGGCCGTGAAGAAAATCCTAAGCAACACAAAAGAGTGCGGCGATATAGAGAATGGGGAGTCTTCCCTAGGGGACGATGGGTTTGAAACGGAGGTCGCGATGTTAGGGAAGATTAGGCATAAGAACATTGTGAAGCTGTGGTGCTCTTGCATCACTAGGGACTGCAAGCTTTTGGTGTATGAATACATGCCTAACGGGAGCCTGGGCGATTTGCTTCATAGTACCAAGAGCGGGTTGTTGGACTGGGGGTTGAGGTATAAGATAGCAATAGATGCGGCGGAGGGATTGTCTTATCTACACCACGATTGCGTCCCCCCGATTGTTCATAGGGACGTGAAATCGAACAATATATTATTGGATGGGGATTTTGGAGCTCGGGTTGCGGATTTCGGTGTGGCTAAGGTGGTCGAACGGAACGACAAGGGAACCAAACTCATGTCTGGGATTGCAGGATCTTGTGGTTACATTGCACCTGGTAAGATTTGAGTTAGGTTTAATACTTATTCTTAAGAATACTTTCTTTTTGCCTCTTCTGTTATTAACCTCTTGTAAACAAACTCTCTTCATTCGAGTAGGAGTAAAATCTTACGGTTATAATGGGATTTTAAATCATTTTATCAAGTGTGTTATCGTATGAGGGGCGATAACGTCAATTTTCACACTAATCGGATTTGCATTATTATTTGCAGAATACGCGTACACGCTTCGGGTGAATGAGAAGAGTGACATATACAGCTTCGGGGTGGTGATCTTGGAGTTGGTCACGGGGAGGCTCCCGACAGATCCCGAGTTCGGGGAAAAGGATCTAGCGAAGTGGGTGTGCACCACGCTAGACCAGAAAGGCGTGGATCATCTCATCGATCCAAAACTGGACTCTTGCTTCAAGGAAGAAATGTTCAAAGTTCTAAGCATTGGGCTCCTCTGCACCAGCCCGCTCCCCATCAACCGTCCGTCGATGAGACGGGTGGTGAAGATGCTCCAAGAAGTGAGCCCCGCGACGAAGCCTGACAAGGATGTCAAACCCACGCCCAACCACTGCGACGATGCTTCTGATCACGGTAGCGTTGCGTAGAAGGAACGAGTGAAGAGTTACGCTTAGGGACCCCGTTTTTCACCCCTCTTCGTACATACATTCACAGACAAGATAACAAATGGGGTGAAAAATGGGGTTCATTTAGCATTTTTTTCATGTTTTAGTTTTGAAAGAAAGGGCTAACTACCTTACAGGCTTCTATTCAAAAAGTCCCCACTTGGCATGTGTTTTTAATTGGGTGTAAGAGGGTGAAGACAAGACAGAGAATTGAAGTCAAAGAGAGAGAGAGAGAGAGAGATTTCATTGCATATCACTTGAATCACACTGTTTTCCTGCACTTAACCTGTTTGAGACAGTTATTAATTACACTGTGTATTTAAAAACAAGTGTGATTTAATTGCATCCATTTATGGAATATTCCTTCTGTTCATGAATTTCCTCTCCTTCATGAAATTCGATTCCCTCCAAATTACAGTACCTCATTATGTAATTTGTTGCCGGCATTAAGAAACACTCACTACTATATTCGGAGTATCTTCTTTCAGAACGTCTGTAGGCGGTTGCGCAGTTATCAAAAATTGGGAGTGCCAAGAGGAAGATCTGAGGTCGATTCCTCACAAGTGCGCTGAGAGGTAATTATGTTAAGCTTAGCCGCATATGGTCTCTGCTTGTAAGTTGTACCAAGTGCAAGCTTCATCCCTTGTCACCAATCTACGATTAAAATCCAATTTACCTCGTCTCACTAGGGGCACTCGAGGATGTGGCTCATTTTTTTCCTTTTCAAAATAGGTTTATGTTCGTTGTTCGCTCTATTTTCTTTTATTACATATTGACATTAATTATTTGATGAGATAAAAATACTCTGAGTAACTTTTTTGTTTAGATTTTTTGGTGTGATTTTTTTAATATAAGATTTTTTTAAATTCTTCATCAATATTTAAATAAATAGAATTAAAAATATTTTTAAAAAGTTAGAATACTCAATTAAAAAGAAATGCCTATTTAAATAGATAAGTGCATATTTAAAATTATAAAATTTGATTGATTGGATGATAGTTTGGACATTTGCACAGTTAGCAAGTAAAAGGTTGTCAAAGTATTTGCTACTAATCTGTGATCAAAACGTAATTTACCCTCTCAGGTGATCGTCTCTCCAATTACGAAAAACTCTTAGAGATTGGGGTTTTTTTTGTAAATAAACTATGGCTACATTAGACCCATATAGAGTAGCTGTTGGGGTCAGATGCCAAACAGAGGTTAGGTTGCTGGAGAGCACAAGTGCCAGTGAGATTTAATGAAATTGAAATTAAAAACTGGTTTTACAGTATTTAATTCATTTTGTGGTATCAAATCTGAATCGGGTCATGCTATGCTCACACCAAAAATTGTACCTCATTTGTACACTGCAGTTATACACAAATATTTTGATGGTTTACACCGACACAAGTGTTGGTGCGTTAACAAAAGTTTACACGGACACAAAGTGTTTGTGCGTTAACAAAAATTTGTTTTACATCAACACAAAATGTTGGTACAAACCTGCGGTGTACAAATAAGGTACAAAAAATTGGGGTACAAATAGTTTTATGCATATGAATCAATGCCCTCATCGAGATGTTGTGACCTCAAATCTTGCGCCCTCTTCAAGTCTTTGACAAAGCCAAGGTATTTACTACGTCCGTCCTTAGGATATTTATCAACATTTGATTTTCTTTCAATCAAGATTAACAATTTTTTACTACAAAAATAAATAAAAGTAATATAGAGATTGATACAAAAATAATTTAATCAGATTTGTTTTATAAAATATTAGAAATAATTTCATTAGATTTGAATTTGTCTCGTGGTGAATAAAACAAATCTAATAAAATATTACGTCCACTCCCCAGAACCCATTTGAATTTAAAATTAACAAAACTAAATAAAGTTTGAATCTATTTTTTTCAAAAATAATCTGATGGATCGTTTTTATTCACTCTTTCAATGTACAATTTAATGGCCTCGTTTGGAAACATCGTTTTCGATTAGCATTAGCGTTTTGGATAAAATTTTAACGGTGTAGATTAATTCTGAACACGCTATCGCTAAAAGCTACCGTCAGATAGTCTTTTCAAACCGCTAAAGCTAATCTCTAACCTGATTCCAAACGGGGCCAATGTCACTGTGAGAGTCATATTCTTTGTAATAACTTCTTCTGTGCACTAGAAAGAGAAAGCGTCTCTAAGGACCAGACTAAGATTATACCCTGAAAGAGAGCGCCTGGGTAGGCGTTACAGTTTATTTTTTCAATGTACAATTTAGTACTCTCTTGACCAAATAAACTTTACTCAATATATGTCACTGACACTATTACAGTCTCTTGATAATTTTTAGTTGTTTGTATATTTTTATTAATTATTTGATAAAATAAAATATACTTGTCACATTTTATATTATAAAAAATTTTCGTTTACTTTTGAACGGTGTTATTTGTAGTTTTTATTTCTAAATTAATTTGTAACTAAAATAATTTTAAAAGTAATAACATTCTAGACGTTATTTGCATAGTGCCAAACATTGAGGGACTGGGGAGTATTTGATTTTCAGCGAGCTTAAAAAATATATTTTTCAAGCAATTAAATAATTAAAATTTATTAAGTTGAAAGAGAAATCGTGTGAGTCACATACTCATTCTGAAAGCTGGAAATAATGTAATTAGAATTGTTTTTTGAGACGTTAATGTAATAAATGTAGATAATTTTTTGAGACTGAAGAAATATTTTAAATTAGTTAAAAGTTTAAATGAATATTTGAAAATAAATCACCTAAAAAAATGAATAAAATGTGATAATGTAGCATTGTATATTAATATTCTACAGTATTTTTCATATTATATGTTGATATTATTGACATTGTAACTTATATTTTAAAAATAAAATTATAAAACTCTTATTTTGATATTTTATGAGAAAAAGACTAAAGTATAAGTAAAACATTAAAAATATATCAAAATAAGAGTTCCATGTTTTTATTCCCTAAATAAGAATTAAAATACATTTACATTATCAATCATGATCACGTACATTATATAAATGCACATATACAGTGCCACATTACTACAGTACGAATTTCTATTTAGAGAATAAAAACATAGAACTCATATTTTTGTATTTTCTCTATGTTTTAGTCTTATCTAGATTGATTTCTAATATTTTCTCTAAAATTTACCCTTACTAGTTTTCTAACCCGTGCCACGCACGGGTCAAACAAATATTTTTTTATTCTGTAATATTTTTTTCAATGCTACTGATTAAAAAATTAAAAAAATCTAAAAATGCCACCAAAACTTAAACGAAGTATATAATAAATAACATGTGCTAATGAAAATTAGTTTAGAGTCTATTTGGTATATGAAATTGTATTTGAAATGCAGCACATCACCATTAACTATAAGAAAAATTAATATCATTTAACACAATTATCACGAGTTATAATCAATGCTATGAAATTGTATTTTTTACTAATTTATTTTTTATAAAAAAATATTCTAAGTTCAAAAGGTTAGTGTATAAAAAAACTTTCAATTTGCATAATCACTTTTTGCATAGCTCTTGGTATCCACCATGAAACAATAAGAATCTTGAATTTTAATTTTACTAACATGTAATCCCCATAATTGAGAAATAGTAAGAAAATAGTGTTTGTGTAACAAAAAAATCTTTTCTTTATACAGTACTCCCCCTTGTTAACCCATCCCTAATACATCCTTGATATCCCAAATCAGACGGTCTCACATGGCAATATTTGGGTCACGACTTATCTTGGCTTTGCTGTTATAGGTTCATGATTGTACGCATTAAAAACAAAATAGAATAAAAGCTATGTAAACATGGTAGGAATGACAAAGAGTGAAGATACGTGGGTATGTCCTCTATTGTGTTTGCAAGGTTCTTAGCAGACTTCACGCTAGGAACTTCATTAGGTTGTCTTTAGTTTCAGTTGCTTGATTCCACTACAGTTTGACAGTCTTTCGAATTACATTGTTTCTTAGGAGGGGTTGTAGTAGAATTGTAATGTATTCAAGAAGGAAGGGAATCATGTCATTCCTCACCCGAACCAACAATTACAATAATTACTACTAATAATATAAAGCTGTTGCAAAAGTTTTAGATGGTGAGGTAGAACTACATCTTTGTGAAATAGTATCCATTAAAGGTTCCCTAGG